TTAACACAAATGAATCATAAAAAATTAAAATACCATAAAAATAAAATAACCAATCAGAATGCGCCACCCAACGAATGGGTAGAAAACTAGTTTAATAATATAACTAAGTAGCTCTTAGTTACCTGATGTTAGCCCAACGACAATGCCTCCAATCTCTATTCAAGGTACCATCGTCTCTGGGTAAACTGCAAGGTTAGTCACTGAAATTACTAAAAACGTTCGCGTTTGATCACTAGAAATATTTAAATCCATTCATGGTCACTACAATTAGTTTAACAGTTGAAGTTTGGTCACACTCTGTCAGTCTCCGTCAGCCTCCGTTAACAACGTCAGTTTTTTGCTGACATGGCTAATAGAAACGCCTAATCAGCAAATTTTAACACAAAAAAATAAAATTTGACCCTCCACATCATCAAAACCAGCCACGTCATAAAAATAAAATAAAAAATCCAATCAAACCACCTGTGACCCTGTGACCCGACCCAAATCATACAAAGTTGGGTTCCTTTGTTTTTGCAGGTGTCGACGGTCGTTGAAGCTGCCACCGGAGCTGGACTTCACCACCGACAAAGTCTATTCCCTCATCCCTTGTCACGCAACTGGAATGCCTGAAGCTGATGGAGATTTCCGGCTAGTGTCATCTGGGGAGGCGGTCACATCCGCGGCAAGCGAGAAGGAGCAGTGGCCTAATCTACTCTGCCGTGAACCCTTCATGCTCGTCTCCACCAGAGCAGTTGTGTCACTCCCAACAAAGCCACAACGAACCGAAAATTTTCTTCGCAGAATGTGAAATTCTAACAGATGATTGGGCTAGAACACTTTCTTTGATTCGATTCGTGCGTGAATGGACTTGCATTGGGTGTAAAAGAAGGGGGTGGATCTAGTTGAAGGTCTGCAGCGGCGAGAGCCGCTAGAGGGCGGAGGAATCCAGGGAGGTGGAGTATAGGACGAAGGCTGAGTCGGGAATCATCGATCTCGTCATGGGATCCGACGAGAGATGATGAATCGTAATTAGCAAGTTCCTGATAATGCAATCGTAACTCAGAAAAAAGAAAAAGGATGCACAAACACAGAGGAAGCAAGCCATGGAGAGATCGGGCATTGACCAAACCATCTTCTTCCGAATCAGCTCAACAGGGCGATTCCTTCTTTGAGTATGCCTCTCCAAATCTACCGGCGACATGCCGCCTTCCTCAAACCACCACCACCTTCACCACCATCTCGATGATGATCTGACCCCCACTTCTCCCTCCGCCTTCATTTCCGTCATCAATCTAATCCATATCACCACATCCAGCACAAACCGGCAGCCGTCAACGATAGTGAGGGAGGCGGCACAGCGGATACTTGTCGGAGGAGCTAGAGTTGTTGAGAGATCTAGCAATTTCCCACATCAATTCGAACCGGTTCTGCGGGGTGGTGCCTTGGACGTTCAAGAACTGGAAGCGACTCTACGAGCTGGATCTCAGCAACCTCCCCTTCTATTTTGGGTTAGGAACAAAGGAGGAAGAAACCGAAACAGGAGGCGAGCTCGGCGGTGGTGGAGGTTGGGTCGGGTAGGGTATGGGGGGTTTGTAGAAAAGAAATTAGGTTTTTTTAATGAATGTAATAATGAGGTGGAAAATATAAAAGTTTATTTTTTTTATTTTTAATAAATTTTTAGTTGCCACGTCACAAAGTTAACGGTCAACTTTGAGAGTTTACTGTCACATCAGCCAAAGTTAACGGAGTTGGACGGAGAGTGATCAAACATGAACGGTTTCGGTAAGCTGAAGTACCACCAATGAATTTAAATATTTCGAGTGACCAAACTTGAACGTTTCTTGTACCCTCAATTACCAACCATACAATTAACCCATCTTCTCTCCAACTAACCCATCGTAATCAATTATAATTAATAATATAATAGTACAAAATAATCATCGGTACAAAATAATAGTTCAGCTGGCCTGGCCGGTAGGGTTCCGATCCCGAACATAGTCTGTCCAGCCAGTCCGACGAAGACAGGACAAATATTGCAAGTAGGTACCCGGTCAAATCGTAATAAAGCAGCCACCAAAAAGATAAATAAAACAGATATTATTATCCCATTCAACGACCACAAATAAACTCCATCCACACAATACAAAAAGGAAAATGAAAAGCAAAAGCGAACAATATTTTTTCCCGGCCTGCCGACACAATCCCTACGAACGAACCCACTAGCCCCCTGGCTCGGCACCCGAACCTACAAAACCACCCACCACTACACAGCACAGAGCCACAGACAAACTCTCTCAGCTCAGAGTGTCGGTCTGCTCTGCCTCTGCCGCTCTCTTACAAAAATGGTGGCATGCGAATCAGCAGCAACTTGAAAACAAACACTATTAAAAAAAACAAACCAAAACCCTCCCTTTCTTTCTACCCACTACTGCAAATTCCCTGTGCTTTTCTCTCCACTTCCACTGAGTCGTCGTCTCCTCAGTTCCAAGAACCAACTTATTCCTTTTTCCCTCTGTTGCAGCAAACCCTCCCCCTCAAGCTTCCCTACGATTTCCCAATTTCCGATTGGGACTTCGTTTCTCTCAACTTCCCGGTGTTTCAGTCTCTGGGTACTCATTCAATTCCCCTCTAGAAACCGACAATTTCCCGGCGAAATGCATTCGGCCAAGTCGGAGTCGGACATGACGAGCCTGGCCCCGTCGTCGCCGTCGAGGTCGCCGAAGCGGCCGGCGTACTACGTGCAGAGCCCGTCGAGGGACTCGCACGACGGGGACAAGTCGTCGTCGATGCAGGCGAGTCCGATGGAGTCCCCCTCCCACCCGTCGTTCGGCCGGCACTCGAGGAACTCGTCGGCGAGCAGGTTTTCCGGGATATTCAGGTCGTCTTCCGGGAGGAAAGGCGGGAGGAAGAGGAGCGACAACCCGCAGAAGGGTGGGTGGAACGAGAAGGGTTGGCCGGAGTGTAATGTGATAATGGAGGAAGGTGGGTATGAGGATGACGAGAAGGCGTTTGTTCGGAGGTTTCAGTGTTTGATTGCTCTCTTCAGCTTCGTCCTCTTGTTCACCATCTTCTGCTTGATTATTTGGGGCGTTAGCCGGCCTTACAAGGCGCAAGTATCGGTCAAGGTATGCCTGAATTTCCCTTTTTTGCTTTGATTTGCTTTGAATTCCTTCTGGACCATGTCCCGGTTGATGAATCGAACTCAAAAGATTGGTAAAGTTAGCAAGTGGGTGAAATGGAAAGCACTATGCGACTCTGCTCACTGCTCTTTACTGCTTTGGCTCTTTGCTTTTGGTTCTGTGCTACTTTGGCGTCAGTGGCCTCAAAGAAAGCATCCTTTCAACTGCTGTGGCAATTTAAATGCGACTCATTTCGTCGAGTTAAAGCCAATTTTTGTGCTCCAAGTTTGTACAGTATAGGCTTAGGTGAATGTTAATATGCGAATCATCAGATTTCAAACACAGTTCTCTCTGTCAATAAGATTATGTCATCTTGTTAAGATATCAGTTCGCTACAGCAACACGTGAGAGGCTCAAAATGGATGTATAATGTTGTAAAAAGTAGTTGGTATTTCCATTCTTTAAGCTTGCCGACACCAGGTTTCCCATTTGCCTGATCTTGTTGAATGGTTAGAGAAGTGGGTGTAACCCAGGCCAGTGTCCGATAGAATAGTTGTATCAAACATATCCTACATTGTCATTTGGTGAACTGAGTCTGGATTTGACGTTTTTGTTGTTGAAATTGCAGAGCTTGACAGTGCACAACTTCTATATCGGAGAAGGTTCAGATTTCTCAGGTGTGACAACAAGGATGCTCACAGTCAACGCGTCACTGAAGATGAGCATATACAACCCTGCCTCCATCTTCGGCATCCATGTCACCTCCACACCGATCAATCTCATTTACTCCGAGATCCCAGTTGCAACTGGCCAGGTAAATGAAATGCACTTAAGTTTCAACTGGATAGACAGAACTGGTTTCCTAACATAACGAAATCCCTAGTTTCCCAAACCAAAAATATTCGGCTAACAGAATGGGAACTAATGCAGGTGAAGAAATACTACCAGCCAAGGAAGAGCAGAAGAACAGTAACGGTAGTGGTGGAAAGCAACAAGGTGCCATTGTACGGGGCCGGATCGAGCTTGATGGCAGCCGAGACAGCTGCCGTTCCAATGAAGTTGAAGTTTGAGTTGAAGTCGAGGGGAGACGTGGTGGGGAAGCTGGTGAGGACTAAACACAAAGTTCAGATTACTTGTCCTGTGGTTCTTGATGCGACCAGGACTAAACCCATCAAGTTCAAGAAGAACTCCTGCACATATGATTGAAGCTATATGTATATAGCAGTGTGTGTTGTTTGTTGCCTTGTTTTGAAGCTTTGAATTCTGGGAAGCGTTGATGTATATCTTCCGCAAGGAAATAACCGTGGAAGGGTTATGTTGTGCTGCTGTTGAGTGATGGTTTTCGCTGTGTATAAACCTGCTAGTGTCTGGTTTTTTTCCCCGCAAATAAAATATCAAAGCTCGACCTCTGTAATTTGGGAGGAAGGTTGAGACCATTCTGCAAATTCACCGGTATGCTTGTTCCTTAACTTAAATACAGAGCAGAGTTAGATGGTCCCTGCTGCTAGGCAGAAAGGGTAACCTGGATGTATGACAGCAGTAGTGAATCAATCTTTGTTTTCTCGATTAGAATTCAAAGGTTCATCAATGGTCAACATTTGCAACTATCCTGATGTGCTGATGCTATCGTGTTCGTTCCATGGTCTATAAAACCGTACAAGAGACCGTACCGGGAAAGTCGGCGGTAGAGTATTTTATGGTAAAATTGTGGTTTAACCGTAGTTCAACCATTATACCGATAAATGCCGCATATCGGTTTAGCCTCCGATACTAATATTTCGTGGTTGAACCGCAGGTATGGTACGACTTCATGAACACTGGTTCGTTCCCTTGCGACGTAGTTGGTTTCTCAATTCACGTGTTATAATCTTTTGAGTTACAACTCTGCTCACTAAAAATATTTTGATTGATTGATTCTTCATTAACATCTCTTGAAATAACAGGAGTAACTTTGATTGATGAGACTACCTTGAGTTTGGGGGTCGGGTTCCAAAGTGGGCCAATGTCTTGCTACCCCTCAACATTGACTTTGTTCAATCCTAATTGATTTTCGGATTACAGTTTCCACATGTCCACTGGTGGAAGTAACGATTGGACATACATACATCTCCACGTATTCGCTCAAAGCTACAAGAATGTTAGACTCTAAAAATGAAAGTTGAGCAAAGCATAATAGTACTACTGAGATGGCGATGATGCAGGTCGTTTTACGAAGAGCTTCCCCACATCTTCCGTAACAACATTGCTCCTGCCGAAAACAAAAAGACCACGATCATCAGCTAAGCTATTTGGTTACATAACAGATGGGAAAGATGGTGAAGACACATATATCAATAGTCAATACAGCAGACTAAGATTGCTAAGAGCAAAGCTGTATACTTTTGAGTTGGCCATATATGCTAATGTTATGCAAGACTCTGCCTGGATACACCAGGCTGGAGACTGAATGCCCCAACCGAACCACGTGAAACTGCTGAAACTGTTGCTCCAACAATCCCTAGCATATTGATTGATTGCTGACGATATCTCTACCAATCTTAAGAGTTAGTTTCAAAGAAAATTGTAGACCTTGGTGGGTGTTCAGGTTAGCATATTCATATATATAAGGACTCCATCCATAATCATTCTTAAATCGTGCATCAGCAATAGAAGCCGAATCAGAACTTCTTCAGAAACCTCTCAAAGCCAGATGGGAGAATCTATTTTTGCCCCAACTCCACTTATATGAGCTTGGGTGAATGCTAATACTGTAATACATATTGCTTTTGTTAATGCGTTTTTCCTAAAGTGGGTTACCATGATGCACATCAAACAGATTAGCAATCATTCCAAAGGACATGGTTCTACGGGGTTGGTAAAATCAAGAGACTTGGAACTGATCAAATGAACTTCCAATTAAGACAAAATCATAAACAGTTTTAGAAACTCACCTTCCTCTAAGTTGAGGAGGAACCAACACGCCACTAGAGGTATCAGGAGTATTCTTTGTGTGGAGCAAGCTGTTACCCTTTGGCAATTTGCTGCGACGGGAAGAGTTAGGTTGACCAGCTGAATCCCTCTTTAGTGATAGATTATCAACTCCGACCCAAGATCTATGATCAGCTCCACCCACAGATGATGAACTGGACGGAGAGTTCAAGAGAAGTGAAGCATCAGGGAGTTTCCCAGGTAACAATGGTGGTGGAAGTCGATTTGATGATGACCCATGCATCCTACAAAAATACCAAAATTATAAGTGGAACATGAATCTTACCACCAGCATCACATTTACAATGTACCCAGCACTTTTCCCCCATAAAGGCTGCCCATAATTTGGTTGCTCTCAACCTACACAGAGCCTCCAAAATAAACCTACCATACCATATACAGAATAGGACCATAAGAACCGAGCCAAAGCCTAAAATTACTTGCTCTCCACTCCAGTGAGGTTCCCGGAAGAGAGTAATGACGCAAAAATGCAGTTCCAAATATCAATTATTTTGTGGTCTGTAAACTGAAATAAGCTCAAATGGCCAGCGCTCTCAATACAGGGAGGGCACGACCAAGACGAATACAGGGCAGGAAAATAGTTTCTCCTCCTATTTTCCAAATTAAAGTGCCACGAAAGTTGCTCTTCATTCTCATCGAGCAACCAAGTCGAAGAGCGACAGAAACAACGGTGATCCTCTTTCACACAAGAAAGAAAACAAAGAATCTACACATTCACGAACGCTAAGTTTGAAGCGCGCAAAAACATCGCAATTACCAAATCGAACAGATACCAAACAAGGAAGAGAAAGAATCAGAAACTTACTGGGTGGTGGGAAGAATTGCTACAGGTGGCGGCGAGGGTTCCGGTTTCGGAGCCTGTGGTCCTTCGGCTACTTTTGCTTCCGGCGATTCTTCGTCGTCAGATGAGGAGGCATAATCCACCAGAGACATCTCTCGCCCAGTTAAGTCGGTAGATTCTGTTGCTGTAAAACAGTCGGTTGGCGTATAGTCACCGCCCAACTCCTTGATTTATGCCTGCAGCGAATTTCAACTTGTTGTAATGTTAAGAGGGCAAATTAGGGATAACAACAGGATGCCGGCGATCGAAGGATTGGGTGAACTGTTGCCGGCGAAACTTCCAACCCTCCCAAAGAGCAAAATCGCCGGGGAGAGAGAGATTAGTGGGGCGGTGGAGTGATAGATTTCATTCCCAGAGAAAAAGGGATAGGGTACCGGTTAGGTTATGTCTTCTTTCGCTAAAAGCGACGCAAATAAAATAATAATTACGTACGAGTAAAAATTGTTCCTTTCGAAAGGACAAACCACGAAGAGAAAATACTTTTTCTATTCCTCATTATCTTAATAGTCAATAGAATTTATATAGAAAAGGTAAATATTTTCGTATGATCTGAACTTTGATCAAAATAAATATTCTGACCAATCTTTTCGATCTATAACATCCTGGCCCGAATTATACACCAAAATAAACAATTTGGCCAGATCCGATTTTTGACCGTTAACTTGGACGGTCAAACGCGTTGACCGTTAGCCAACGCGCCATGTTACTGCCAAGTCAGCATAAAATATTTAAAATAATTCACAATTTCCACACATTCTCTAATTTTAAATTATTATGAATTAAAAAAATCATTTAATACCTTAGTCAAACAAAAAATAAAAAAATAAAATATTTATCAGATCTTCTGACTTGGCAGTGACGTGGCGCGTTGAACGTTAGTCAACGCGTTTGACCGTCCAAGTTAACGGTCAAACATCGGGTTTGGTCAAATTGTTTATTTTAGTGTATAGTTCGGGCCAGGATGTTATAGATCGAAAAAATTGGCCAGGATGTTTATTTTGGTCAAAGTTCAGATCATGCGAAAATATTAACCCTATAGAAAAAGGTTAGCATTATTATTGCAAGTTAACAACTATACCCGCTAGTAAATTTTCACGAGTATACTCTTCTGTCTTAATTTTTGTTAATTGACCACTGAAAAATAACTCAAATTCCCCTCATTTATTTCTAATTTAGTTTTAATTATTTTATGTCTCTAATCAAATTAATTAAAATTTAAATCTACGAACTTCCAATCTTTCTCTTCGATAGCAGGGTTCACCGGCATCCCCGCTCCGCCTTTCTCCGCCGCCTCCCCTTACTCCCGCCTCGAACTAATTGGCTCCTCCTCCGCTCTCCGATCCGCCGCGGAATTAAGCCACTTGGACTCCATCTACCCTCTCCACCCTGCCGCCCACAAGCTTCATCGCCCATCATCATTCCCTTCCCATCCATCCAATAATAATACTAACTAGGGATGGCAATGGAGCGGGTTTGGGGCGGGTTTGCCTAAACCATCCCCATCCCCATCTTCAAATACCCAAACCCATACCCGCCCCATACTCATGCGGGAGAATGTTTTGCAAACCCATCCCATACCCGTGGGTTTCGGGTACCCATGGGTAATACCCATCCCCGTACATCCAACATTATTATACTTAAAACTTACAAGAAAAGTTTTAATTATAACCATAAACAAACCTATTATATCATGAAGTCAACAAAACACGGTCATTTTCTAAATACGATTCAAAGAATATGATCCTAAAACATCCATTAATACATAATATAGACTACAATATTTTTTAAATTATTATTATGCTCTAACTCTTGATACATTTACTAAGTAATAATTAACTAACATAATCTTGTTAACAAGGGGGAAAGTGAAAGAGTGGAAGGAGAATTGAGGGAAATGAATTAGGTTTTGATTAAGGTGGTTACTCAATTGCATTTCTACTATTTATTTTCTCAAGTTATCATCATCATCATTGATAGATTGCAATTTAATCCACATATTTTTTGATATGTGAAGAAATTCTCTTGGTGGGGCGGGTATGGGTATGGGTATGGGGTGGGGGAGGCTAAAACCATACCCGCCCCATACCCATCAAACTTTTTGCGGGTTTTACCCATACCCGCCACATACCCGGTCAAAGCGGGGATTCCCCGCGTTGACTGGGTCGGGGGCGGTCGGGTACCCGCGGCCATGGGTTTGATTGCCATCCCTAATACCAACAAACAACAATAGCAGTGATTTCCAAACAATCCCTCCCGTGGTTGGGAATTTTCAGTTGGGCTCTTCGGCGGCCGCGCCATTATCTACTTAGTGTTAGTGTGTGGTATATCATTCACGATTGAAACTCTCCCAACAACTCGAGTTATTGGGACCAACTGGTTCTTGACATGGTATCAGAGCCTTATGTGACTAAGAGGTCTTGTGTTCGAATCCTAATAACCCCCCATTTGTTAAGCACATGGTATGTGGACCTGTGCAAACTTCAAGCCCTTCTAAGTGGCTTTCGTTTGAGGGGGCGTGTTAGTGTGTGGTATATTATTCACGATTGAAAATCTCGCAACAACTCGAGTTATTGGGACCAACTGTTTCTTGACACTTAGAACATGATGATGAACCAGATGCTGCCGCTTCAGTCGATGCTTCACTCCCATGATCTTCACCACTCGTTCGAGCCCCAATCGGGCGGCAGAACGTTGATCGGCGTTGACATAAATAAAATTTTCTATATCCAGGGGAGTCAGTGGAGTTGAGGAAGACGGAGAGTCTCCTCTCGAAGAGAAAGGTTGGAAGTAGATTTTAATTTTTTTTATTAATTTGGTGATGAATATAAAATTATTAAATCAAAATTAATTAATTAAGAGTAGATGAGGGGCAATTAGGTTATTTTTTAGCTCATTAAACTGTCCATTAACAAAAAATTAGACAGAAGTGTATACTCGTTACGTTTGAATATTAGAAGAACATGTTTGTGCAAAAATTTAGTAGAAGAGTACATTTGTTAACTTGCAATAGTAAAAGAGTACATTTGGAGCATATCTTCTTTCTATGTCCGGTGGCTCAAGATTTGTGGGATGCGGCCGGTATCCGAGTGTTGGCGGATGGACTCGATGTGACGAATTTTGTGATTTTTCTTCGTCGGGTTCTTGAGCGGGCAACCACAGTGGAACTGCTGTGCAGGATTGTAGCGATGTTGAACACAAAATAGGATGGTCTTTGAATTTAAACAAGTCCACTGTTTCGTGCTTCGACAACATCTCACGTACCAAATCCAGGAGTGGATCCGTGTCAGGGTAGGGGACATGCTTGGTGTACACTGTCCCATTCCGCCTCAGCGGGAGAAGGGATTCCGGAGAGCCTCTCGGGGTTCACCTGCTCTTTGATGGTGCGGTTGGTGGCCAATCTCATGCGGTTATAGGGATAGTAATTCGGGATGCAACTAGGGCTGTGGTGCTAGCTAAAGGTGAACGCTTGGATGGAGTGTTTGACCCAGCTTTGGTGGAATTAGTTGCACTTCGGGAGGCTCTCTATTGGTGCGTTATGAATAGGGCTAGAGGTTTGGTTATCGGTTGTCGGTTAACTGGCCGGTTAAACCGATAATCGACGGTTACCGGTTAACTGACTAACCAAAAAACACGTTCGCGAGCAGTGTTCGGTATGAGGATTAGATGTCACGGTTAACCGGCTAACCGACGGTGATAACCGCCGGTTAACCGACTAACTGACACATCTAACCCCCTCATTTTCGTAAAACGACGCCGCCTCACTTCCTAAGACCTAACCCTAATGGAAGCCACCCCTAACCTCTTCCCTTCTCTTCTCTGCATCGCGAAAGACGCGAACTCTCTGCCCATCTGCCGCCTGCCCTGAACGGCGATTGGAAGTCCCCAATTTTTCTAGTCCATCTCGTTCTCTCTTCTCTTCCCACTCCCAGGCCCCAGCGGAGCGCGAGAGCAACGTCGCCACTCTCCGCCATCTCCCTCCCCGACCCGCGCCCCTGCTACTCCGCCATCTCCTCCCCGACCAGATTCCCGACTCGCCGCCTGCCATAGTCCTCTACCGCCGTTCCTCCGCCGCCAGCCATAGTCCCCTGCCGACCAGTCCACGAGCAGCCAGCAGCCGCCGCTGTTCCTCCCCTTTGATCAGTCTGATGTGAGTTGTGACTTCATAGTTCGGACTTGTTTTGAATTTGTGAAGGATAATTCAGCAATTGATAATTCATAGTTTCAATTTAGATTATCATGAAATGGATAGTGAGCCTTTTTTTGTGGACAGGCATGGCAGTAGCCTTCAGTTTCAGATCCACAAGAAATGAAACTATGAAAGTATATCATGTTAATGAAATGGCTTGTACTTGTGGACAGCAGGATATGCTTGTACTTGTTGTTAGAGTCTTAGAGAAATGGTATCGTGTTGAAGGTTGATAGAGAGTCAAAGTCCAATGGATGCACATATAGCATGTTCGTTTTAGTTAGTTATTGTGTATTTTGTTGAAAGAAAAGTAGAAAAAAAATTTGACACGCTAAAACATAACACCAAACTGCAACCAAGTGTAATCGCAGAATGGAAATGCAGAATAGTGGCAAGTTCTATTTATCAACTCGGGGTCTAGATCTACTGCCTACTCCATGATTATCTATTATCTAGCAAACTAAGTTGAGTGATTGTGATTTTAAGCAAAAGCAGTAAGAAAGCAGGAAATGGTTCGAGATTCTTAAGCAAGGGAAGAGTCACTCGAGAATGAGCCCCCACAACTCCTTAGTTAGGTCAAAGTTGTAATTACCTTTGGTTGATTTACTGTTGATTAAACTGCGGAAATCCGACAGTAGTTTGGAATATCTTAAGCTGACCAAGCCCTCCAGACAGACTAACCGACAGGCTACTAGCCTTCACCAGGATAGACTGCTGAGGCAATAAACATAGAACTCCACTACTGGAATTGGATTCCAGTACAAAGCAGTAAATCGGTTAACTCACGTATAACCAACTCACTACTACCGATTGATGAAGCTCTAACAACCTAATCATATTCTATCTATCTCAGGTTGCAGCAGAAATCAAGAAAAGTTGATCAGACTTCAATTGACTCAATGAATCATGCATCAATCGATTATAATCAAGCAAGATATCAATCCAAACGTCATTACAATCAAGATTCCTAACACATGGAACTAGGGTTCTTCATACCCAAGCGAGAGAGGGTTCCACTCCATAGAGAGAGAGAGAGAGAGAGAGAGAGAGAGAGAGGAAAATAAAAATCAGAGCAATCATACTCATAAAGATGGGGATAATCTGCTCTGGGATGTCGATCTTCACTCCTAGGGATGCAAATATGGGCTTCAATGGTGAGAAATCC